TCAAGTATCCTAAGTTGTTTTGCTTCATAATTGGTTTCAACAAAACTCCGAAAGAACCGGTTTGAGCGTTAAAGATGTTTTAGTCCAACAAATAAGAATATATGGCATTTCGACTCAATTTACTATTGGACGGATTAGACGCTGCAGAGCAGTTTGATTTCTGCAGGGGAAATGGAGAGCTGAAAGAGTTTTCACTCGACTCACTCAAAATCCATAGAACTGCTTGAATTTCTATCAGATGAACCTAAACGAGCGTATCTAGGGATATTTAAGGATTGTTTTTTTTTCTGAATTATAAACAAATAGGGAAACCCACCCACATCAGCAGTTGCCTCTTTGAAATATATTTTATTTACAACATCTAAACATCTTTAAAATGGCTGATGTTTTCATGAAACTCGGTCCGATGATAAAACAATTTTTACAAAAAATTTGGATGCAACCTAATCCACGTATACCTGTGTCTGCGTTTTTATCACAATTTTCTACGCAGTGCAACTCATAAACCCTTGTTGATCTTAAGATATCGCAAAATTTTTTGGCTGCGAAGTTAGGTTTCTTATCATTGTTATGGAACACTGTAAAACAGTTGTACTGTCAGACCATATGAGTTTATGGGATATCTGAGAGTTCAAGGCCTTTTTAATGTCTTTTTTAAAAACGATTCGCCAATAGACCACGAAAAAACCCAACCGAGCCAAAGACTTCAAGCGAAATGTCGCCAAACATGTGTAGTTCTGTTAAACCTACAGGCGCACTGAAGTAAGTGCAATGGATGGTAACTTTTCTCAGCAAGGTACCCGCATTGAAGTTCCATGAACAAAAATTGATTATAAATGAGTTTCCTTGTCAGTGTCTACAAAAGTGAAAACAAATCAATTATAATCAATTAAAAATGGATTTTATAATATTACTATTTTTCGAGGCTACAAAAAATTCTTTTTTCATCCATTATAATCGATTTTTTTTTCTTTTTTGTGGATACTGACAATGAAACTAAGTTAAAATAGTTTTTTTTCACTTTACTGAGATTTGAAATTCAACGCACATAAAGTCTTTTCTACGTTTTAAATTAAAGTTGGTTACGTTGGTTAATTGTTGATATCTTTGTTACTTTTTTATAATACTCAACATTACCCCCCCCCCCTAGTGTTTGCCTATTTACAATAAACCCCCCTCCCCCCCCCAACGTAACGTGTTCAGGTGGGGGTGGGTTCAGGTGGGGG